TATGTGTGTGCGTGTGTGTGTCTTCAGCATACAGCTTATATATCCTGAGTTACATAGGATCTTTAAAGGTAGAAGACAGGAGCTGAGAAGGAGGGAGTGAGAATGATGCACTGGAAGAGGGGTGGGCCCCCCATTGCTGGCTTTGAAGATGCAGGAAGAAGCCAGGTGCAGTGGAGCACACCTGTCATCCCAGAGGCTCAGGAGGCTGAGGCAGGAGGATGACAAGTTCAAAGCCAGCCTCAGCAACAGTGAGGTCCTGAGCAACTCAGTGAGACCCTGTCTCTAAATAAAACACAAAAACAGGGCTGGGGATGGGGCTCAGTGGGCGAGTGCCCCTGAGTTCAATCCCTGGTACCTCCCCCCAAATAAATGTAATAATAAAAAAATTAAAAGTAAAAAATGCCTAGCGTGCATGAGGCCGAGTTAATATCCAGCGCAGTGACTGTGGCGCTGTGTGACGTGATGGTTCTGCCCCAGACTCTGGTCACTAATGCCCTTCCAGGATCCAGTTCAACTGCCAAACGGAGGCGCTGATTCCTAAGGACACGTGGTCCTTCTTTGGAACTATCATTTTCCTGTCCCTTTTTATTAAATACTTTTAAGATCCTTAATTTAATTCATTTTGAAATTAAAACGCACATGCGCGTGCACACACACACACACACAGACGTGTGCACTTTCTTAGGAGGAAGTTAACAAGTTACAGGAGGTTATTAAATCATTTAGTCTCCTAGAACAAGGGTAAGCACCCCCTTCCTCCCTGCCTCCCTCCCTCCCTCCCTCCCTCCCTCCCTCCCTTCCTTCCTTCCTTCCTTCCTTGGTACTGGGGGGAACCCAGGGCTTCAGGCCAGCTGGGCTGACCTGCACCCTAGTTCTTTCTATGTTCTTTTGAGGCAGGGTCTATCTAAGTTGCCTGGTCTGGCCTCAGTCTTGAGATGCTCCTGCCTCAGCCTCCTGAGCAGCTGGGATCACAGGCACGAGCCAATGTGCTCAGCAGCAAACTTTTTCTGTATCAGGCCAGAAAGTAAGTCTTTAGTCGTGCCCTGGTATCCATGGGGCCGTGCTTTCAGGGGATCTGGGTAAACGCTTGCTGACTCCTAAAACAAAGGCTCCCTAAGGGCAGGTCCCAGGCTTTCTTGGTGGACTGGTCCTTCACAGAGCCTGGAAGATATCCCCAACAGACCTGGGACTGGACTAGGGGAGAAAAGCTGGATCAGTCCCCGTCTTGGTAACATTTCAATATTTTGTTCACAATGGAGTGTGTTCCTTTCACTTTTATTTTTAAGGTAGGACACTATATGGCTGGCGTGTAGCTCAGAGAAGCACTGCTCGACTGGCGTGTGGATTCCCTGGGTGTCATGGCCAGGACTGGGAAGGAATCATGGTACTGTGGATCTTGATGACTGCATTTCGGGCCCTCCCTGAAACTCAAAGGCAGTGAATTACATTACCTTTTAAAACAATTTTGGACTTGGCTTTGATGTTTCCATTTGCCCCTGAGGACCTATTTGGACTATCTGTTCTCCCTTTGGAGTGGTAAAACAGGTATGTCACAGGGTGCACGGGTGAAAGATTCTCTCTCCTTTTAAAAATGATGACATGCATCCACCTGATGTCTAGTTGGTAAAATAGAAAAGAAAAGGGGTAAGCACTGAGGTTGTAGTTTAATACAGAGGCAGGTAGATACCCGAAGCTTGGGGTCAATCCTTGGAAGGGCTTTCTGAACAAGACAGTCACAGAAGCAAATATTGGCCCAAGGGTCAGGAGTCTTTCAAAATCAGCCGAGCATGGAAGAATTAGACATTATGTTCAACAAAAATAGGACATTAAGCCAGGCACGATGGCACATTTTAAAGAAATAACTTTAGAGGCTAAGACAGGAGGATTGAAAGTTTGAGGCCAGCCTCAACAACATAGTGAGGCCCTAAGCAACTTAGTGAGCCCCTTTCTCAAAATAAAAATTAAAGGTCTGGGGATGTGACTCAGTGGTTGAGTGCCCCTGGGTTCAATTCCTAGTTCAAACATTTAGTACCTCTTTCTTTTGAAAAAAAAAAAAAAAATTGACATACTACATTTTGAAAACTTTTTAAAAAAATTTGAGACAGGATCTGGCTATATCACTCAAGCTTGACTCTATTCCTGGGCTTAAGCAAACTTCCTGTCCCACCTCTAAAATAGCTGGACTATAGGTGTTCACCACTGTACCTGGAATTTTAAGAACAGTTTTAGATTTACAGAGAAACTGAGAATATGGTGTTCTGATATTATCCCACCTTCAGCTTCTGGTATTATTCACATTAAGTTAGGGTGGGATATTTTTTTTACAATTACTGAACAAGTATTGATAAATTCTTATTAACTGCAGTCCATAGTTTATTGTAGGGTTTAGTCTTTGTGTTGAACAGTCTACGGGGTTTTAAATTTTATTCTTCTCTGCCCCCAGATGGGGGTCTTAATATTTTGCCCAGGTGGGCCTTGAACTTGTTGGGCTGAAATGATCCTCTGATTTCAGCCTCCTGAGTACTTGGACTGCAGGTACATGCCATATCACCTGGCAATTCTGTGAGTTTTAACAAATAGGTAATGGCATGTATCTACCATTAAAATATCCTATGAAATGAGTTAATTGTCCTAAAACCCTCTGTGCTCGACCTAGTCATTCCCCTGGCCCCCAAACACCTGGCTGCCATTCATCTTCTCATTGTTTTAGTAGTTTTTGCCTTTTTGGGGGGTGGGGGGTGGGGGTACTAGGGATTGAACACAGGGAGCACTTAATCACTCAGCCACACTCTCAGCCCTTTTTTATATTTTATTTAGAGACAGCGTCTCACTAAGTTGCTGAGGCTGGCTTTGAATTTGCCATCCTCCCACCTGAGCCTCCTGAGCTGCTGGGATTACAGGTGTGTGCCCCGACGGCCAGCCCCTGGTTTTTGCTTTTTACAGTGCTGGTGATGGAACTCAGAGCCTCACACAGGCCGGCCAGCTCTTTACTAGGGAGCTACAGTCCCAGCCTTGTTTGTATACTTTTGTTGCGTTACAGAATGTCATGCCCTGTGTTTGGAATCATATTGCAGGAGACCGTCTCCTTTCACTTAGCAATACACAGCTGAGGTACCTCCATGGCTTTTCATGGCTTAATAATGTTGTTTTTTAATTACACAATAGTATTCCATTGTACAGAAGAGCCACAGTTTCTTTCTCTGCTCACTTGCTAAAGGGCATCTGACATGCATTTAGTCTTTGGTAACCATGCATAAAGCTGTTACAAATATTCCTGTGCAGGTTTTGGGTGGATGTGTATTGACCTTAGTTGGATAAATAGTAAGGAACCTGATTGTATGGCAAGACTGTTTAACTTTGCCAGAAACTCCCAAACTGCCTTCTGAAGTAGTCATACAATTTTGCATTTCCGTTAGCAATGATACAACTTCCTATTTTTCTGTTCACTGTCTGCTTTTGGAATCGTTAGGTTTTGTATTTTAGCCAAGTGTGTATGTGTGTGTGTGTGTGTGTGTGTGTGTGTGTGTGAGAGAGAGAGAGAGAGAGAGAGAGAGAGAGAGAGAGAGAGATAGGTAGATATCTGGTTATTTTATCGTTTCTCTAATGATACATGGTGCTCAGCATCTTTGCCATATCTCTTCAGTGTGATAGCCCCAACTGTAGCACATTAATTGGGTTATTTTCTTACTGTGGAACTTTAAGAGTTCTTTGCATATTTTGAATACAACCCTTTGTCAGAGATGGATTTTGCAAATATTCTCTCCCAGTTGAGGTTTCTTCATTCTCTTAATACCTTTTGCAGACTTTTAAAGTTTCCATGGGATCCAACTTATTTTTCAATTATCTTCCTTCATGGATCAATCGTTTGGTGTTGTTATCTAGAGACTCATTGTGAATCTGAGGTCATCTAGATTTTTCTATGTTGTCTTCTGGGAGATTTACACCTTTGCCTTCTGCATTAGGTCTATGGTCAATTTTGAGTTGATTTTTATGAAATTATATGGTCTGTGTCTAGATCCCCTCTGTCCCTCCCTCCTTCCTTTCTAGTTCTTTTGTTTTTATATGGATGTTCAGTTGTTCCAGCATCATTTGTTTAAAAGGTCAAGTGGCCTTTGATCCTTTGTCAAAGAAATAAGGATATGTTTACTGTGGGTTCTCACTGCCTTGTAATTAAATTTTTTGGGTTCTGCTTGGGATGGGGTGGGGGAATGTTAATGGCACTTCTTGCAAGCAAATTCTTGTATTCTGCCTTCCTCCAAGGATAGCAGCTGCAAATAAAGTTCAGAAAACACACACACACACACACACACACACACACACACACACACACACACGGTGGGCATATGTGGAAATCCCTGTTCCTCACTTCTCCACAAGTGCACCCTGCTCCTTCCCAATCTACTTCATTTCCTTGCTTTTCCCCACCTTGTGCACGCACACTTGAAAACATCACTCAAATCAAATGGTCTAACTGACCATCCATTTAGCACTTCAGAAAGGGAAATTTTGGTGATTTTGTGATGGACGTAAGGGGTTCTCTTTTCCCTTTTTTAGGACTTAACAAAGTCCCTTGAGGGTGCTATGCATCTTTGATAAAAGCCTTTGACTTTTTAAAATTTATTCTCCGGTGCCAAGGGTCGAACCCAGAGCCTCGGACAGGTTAGGCAAATGCTCTAGGGCCGCAGGACACCGCCACCCCGCCCTGCCCTTGTCTTTTAACATCCAATAACCTTTGGGTTTATTGTATAGTACCAAAGAGGCAAGATGGATTCTGAACTGTCTCTCGCTGTGAGTTACAAAAGACTGAATGCAAGACCTGGCCCTAGTTGGAGGATGAGGATTTCCACCAACCTTCCCAAACTTTAAATGATTGGCATCTGCCAAGTCACAGAAACACACAAAGAGGCTCTTTAACCGGAGTTTGGCTTGGCTCTTCTAAGCAGGGCTGGGAGGCTGGGAGTGGTTTGGTGGTGCGCGGCTACTCCGGAGTGTGCGGTAACCGAGGGCCGAGTCCGCGTAAAGCCGAGAGCTGTAATGATGTCAACTTGTTATTTACTTTCCAAATCTGAATGACTGAGCAAGGCGAAAGGAGAATCAATCAACCACAATGTGACCCTACAGGCGGAAAAAACGCAGCGCTCCCACCAGCAGGCGGTGGGGGGAAGGGAAGCACGTGTAACCGGGACAGGGTTGCATCATGAGCTCGCTCGGGTTTGTCTCTTGCACCCTCCGTTTTTCGATTGCATGTAATACCTCAGCCTCAGTCTGCACAAGCCCAGGGAGCCCGGGAGCAACGAAGGGCAGGCTCCAGGGAAGGCCCCACCAAGTCCTTTTGGGGGGTCTTCAATGGCAACTGATACATAATAAGACACAATCTATTCTGCTGATTCACAATTATGGAGACTGTGTAAGTGTGTCTTTTTTATTGATGTGCTCTGATAATGGTGTAGCAACAGTCGTTTTACATCATTGACGCTTTACAGCAGTATTTTGCAGGGTGATTTTTTAGGTCCGCCTTTTTGATGGAGGACCGGCCCCTTAAAAACTCATCTCGGGTCCCCCCCTCCCCCAACAACCAGAACAACAAATGGTCTAGTGTTCAAGGAAGGAGCAAGTGAGGTTATAGCTTAAACTGCTGAGTGTACTGCGCTCTTAACACGAGGCTCATTATATACCAAAGGGAGGGGCAAACTTACTTAAAAAATATCCAAAGAGGCAGACACCAAAGGTGCTGGGGAGGGGGAGCGGATCTCTGTTTTAATTGAATTGAGGCCGGGAGTGGTGGGGAGTCGGCCCCAACGTGGAGAGGAGGAAGGAGCGCTGGGAGTCTGGCGCACCAGGGCTGGGCCCTGTAAACCTTGCAACAGAAACCACTTTGCAAATGCCCGAGGTCTGAGGCCTGGAGGTGGGGGCGTGGGCGTGGAGATCCCAGGGCTCGGGTACCCCCATCACTCCTTCCTCGCACGCTTCCACCTTAGCTTCTGGCACCCACCCGGGGTGTCTTGAGACTTCCCTCACGTATTTCTGGCTTTTCTCCCAGGGAGGTATTTTGCAAAGGTCCTGGCTCCTTCTGAGTACCCAATTTTGGGCGTGGGGAGTAAACCATTTTGAGACAGACGGACCCTCCGGCAGGTTGCAGGGGGTTCTGTTGGGGCAGCTGGGCGGCTTCTTTTGGAGGTGGGGGAGGGTAACACTAGCGTGGCCCAGGTCCCCGTGCCCCAAACTGGGAACCGTGGGGGTGGCCCGGGTGCCCAGCCTCTGAATACAGTAGTAGAATGGCTCGGTTCGCACTGGGTGGGGTCTAGGCCTAGGTTCCCCCCAGTCCTGCTGTCGTCCCCACGGGTGAGGGACAGGGCTCACAGCAAGGAGAGAGAGGCCTGGGTTTTCCCCACCCTAGGCGCGGGGTGGTAAGGCTTGGGGAGAGAAACTGTGTGGGGGTGCAGGTCCCCCCCACCCCATCGAGCGATAAGGCGGGGGCGCAGATCCTCCTGGGGAGCCGTGGGGGGAGGGGCAGGCCTGGAG